GGTCTTTTCTCTCTCTGGCTAGCAACGCTAACAAACAACCATTTAACAAGCGTCCACTTCTAGGGTCACCTGTTCCAAGACCTCTGTTATAACACTGTTTGGTCTTAAAAAAAGAAAGAGACGAATCAGCACAACAGAACTCATCATTGCTCAAACATTTGTGTAACTTCGTATTGAGCTGCTGCTCCGTTCTCCGTCAGATGATCCCACACTGCTTCATAAATGTGGAGCTCCGGCTCTGGAGGATCCATCCCTCCATCAGAGCTGCTGGTTTTCAGTCCACGTCGTGTGTAATTTGACAGAGCTCAGCCTTTTCTCCCTGTTTCCTTTCCTTCAGAACGGCTTCTGGACAGCCCCCCCTTCATGGAAAGCATTTCTGCTGAGGCCACCAGGAAACGATCAGCTGGAGGTGCAGCTCTCAGCTCCTGTTCGGCTCTCTGCTGGGTTTGTTCCTCTTTCTTAGGCCCTGACCTTTAGACCCTCTTCATCAGATGTGTCTTAGTGACAGGCGGTTGGTAACAAAAATCACGAAAAATGCTGCTTTCATTAGTTGCCTGGCCTGTACAGACACAAGGCTGGCCCATCCCTTGAGTTAGAGGTCTTTTTAAATCTAAAATGGTTAATAGGCCAGCCTTAAGCAACTTAAAAAAAAACCCAAAAGTGGTCTGGAAAGTAGAGAAAAGGCAGCTAATCTCTTAAGAAAAACCCTAAGAAAGTCTAAAGGACTGTTGTTCCAGACCACTTCAAAACATTAAAAGAAAATCTGGCCGCTTAGAGGGAAAACTTAAAGAGATTAACACTTTTATAAAGTATATCGAAATGTTTTTTTTCTATTATATCAAAATGTCAACATAAATTAAGGCATATGAAAAGGAAATGAATGTGCATATCATGATGTCAGTTCAATTACAGGTTTGTAAACCAGTAACTGCTCCTCTCTCCTGGCTGTGAACACTCTGAATGAGGCATTTTCTCTTTTTCACCTGCCGGTGAGAAATAACTCCGGTGAAAGAACAACAGGCGTGTTGAAACAAGGTCGTTACAGAGGAAACTTTTCGCCCTTTTTCAGTGTTTGTCTCACTGTAGCAAAGGATGTGCAAATAGGGAGCTAGCGGAAAGCTAACAGCTGACGTTATAACGCGGTGCCACACAACTATGCAACAATAACAACACAAAACATGTCAATATGTGAACACTATGTGTGAGCAATGACACGGTGCAGCCTGACCTGTAACGGGTCTATGTAGCCCGCTAGCTGTAAAACAACAGAGTGAAGACAGTTCCTTCATTCAGATATCTCCTTACTTCTCTAAAGCGGCTTACCTTCAGTTATTTGCTGCTTTTCACATGAACGCGCAGATATACATAAATATAAAAAAACAGGAAACAAAGACAAAGGTGCAACGCCCCGACGAGTTCCCCTTTCGGCTCTGCTCGAGGGTGAACGGCTGTGGAGACCAAAGAACGGGCTACCGGGTCCCGGCTGCGGACTCAAGACAGATTTCCACGTCCCCACTGGTCTCCATCAACGTGGCACTAAGCAACACTCTCCTCCTCCCACGAAGAAGAACACTAACTTCCGGGGGACTTTGCTAGCATGCTGTGCTAACAACGCTAACGCTACAATTAGATGTCAATCAAAACTGTTTACCCTCTCCTCGCAGTTAAACCTGTAAATGTATACATTAAAATGTGCCTACTATTAAAAAATAATGTACATACATTGTCTTTACAAACTCTAAAATGCATATATATATGCGTGTCATTTTTCCACATTTAAACGTGATTAAAAAAAAACATTTATTGAAGAGAGCAAAAAGTGGTGTCAAATTACTAATGAGTAATCACTGTTGTAAAATTACAATTAAACCCTACTGGTTTACTTCTTAAATCCAGGTCATGCCTAATCGTGTCTTTTCAACTAAGGAAATATCTATTCAGAATTAATGAGTTTGAGAGTAGGAAGCAAATAAGTGTACAATTTGTGATGTAAATTATTTGTATCTCATATTTCTACAAGTTGCATAAAGATAATATTCTATGCATTTTTTACCTTTCAGTGCACACACTACTCAATGTGGCCAAATCTGCATATTCAAATACCATTTTTAATATCTAATGAACATGTTTTTTTTTGTCATTTGCAATATTTTGAGTAGAACCGGTTTAAAACAACACATTGATTCCCTTAAGGCTGACTTGGGGGAATTTTTGAGTGAATTACAAAGTTCAGGTTAAACGCTTCTGGATACATGTTTATTCCAAGGCACTTCCAAATTAATACAAAGTATAAGTTGTGCATTTCCATAGAAAATATGGAAATGAAGACACAAGTGATGACTGGAAATAAAGACACAGACCACATCAGTTTTGATTGTGTTTATTTTTAATGACACAAAACAATAAATTGTCAGACATGGTAGTGCAGGCGATGGTCACCATATTACCTGAAGTCTATGGTCCCACCACCAGGCAGATCTGAAAGAAAAATGACATTCATGTTTACTTTTATGTTGTATTTATGAGGAAACAACCATTAGGAAAATTTACGCTAAAACCCTCATTTATCAACATGAATAATCTCCCCCAAACACACGAATGGGTCAGATGGGTAGTGATTGTTTTAATCATTGGGAAAACACTGCATTTCTTTATATTAAAAAGGCTGCATTACTTACAGTAAAGCAAACTTTTCTTCTTTCACCGGAACTCCTCCGATACAACCTAAAAAGTTATTTTAAAAAAAGTACATTAAACATTCCGATTATAAAATCTAAGCCTATTTGATCCCAAGGTGTTTAAATACAACATGTCTATAGTTAGGAATGCTAGAAATCCTAACAGACAAACCGATAACATTTTTCTTAAACTTCTTGTTGGTTAGCTTCTCAGTTAGCACAAAGACTTCACTTAGCCACGTGCTCTCGTTAAATGTGGAAATACCGCGTGAACAGTTTTAAAACTATTAAAACAATTAATCACATTTACCCCCATCAATGAACAAGCATCTTTTAAATTACTAATATTATATATAACGTATGTGGACACATTATCAGCTCAGTAAACATTTAAACCGTTTTACAATAACTATAAGAAAAACTTAAATTATATCTTAACTTATATCAGTTGAACGTAAATACAATACAGAAAGATTCAAATGAATACACTTCAGGTTAAATTTAAAAAGGCTCCCTTCTAGGAGAAAGAGAAAACGACCCTACCTGACACGTTCTTCTAAGTTTTAGGCGCATAAACACGTTCTTCTTCGTCCTTTTCCCCTACCCTACTGCGTTTGCGCAGCACACGTCAGGAGTCTTTGACATGCGCAGTTTAAGGGAAAAGATTTACAGTAGAAATGTGAATTGCTTGCATTTTTAGAATTGGATCAAGTACGTGAACCAAACCTATTTTAATTTCGTAGAAATATTTCTCTCTATACAGAAATTTAGTTCAGGGGCATATCACATCAACATAATATTTAAAAATGCTATCAATATGACACCTTGTCACTCATCTGATTAAAATAATTCACAGAATAGGGGAAAGAAGAATGGCATCCCAGTTAAGATTTCATTTTCACAACTAAATCCTTCTGCACAACCTATTCATACCAAATGGAATAGTTCAAAATAAAACAAATTAAATAACAACATACTGCAGGGATGGCAGTTAGAAGACTGGTTTTATAAAAAGAGGAAGTGGGGGCAAACAAAAAGTAAACATTTGCTTTTGTATTCTGAATTGAATCCTAAATACAATGCAAATGCAAATACTTAATACTTTCGAAAAATGGTGGGTTAAAAATCCCAATTTATTTACATGAGCGCATTTGGGGGTCTTCTTGAAGCCATCTCATGGTTTCAGTCCGATTTTGGAAAAGATCTGCTTTAATGCTGGTTAACTGTTTCTCTTATTTGGCAGAGGGTCCTCACGGCCATCGGAGGTAGTGTCAGTTTGTCTGTTTTTTTATTTCTCAGTCTGTGGGGAACACTTTATCAACTCTGAGTAGACTGTAAATCATGTTACTGAAATGAGCCTCTGGAAAACCTTTGGCCCTTGTGTTAGTAGAGATAATACTTCTGTATCATAAACTGTATCAATGTGATCATTAACATGACCAACACTGAAGGTTAGGAAGAAAAAGTCTAATAACCCTTACATGTTCCAGCTCTGAAGCTGCATGTTGGGATTAAAGAATCAGATGGATCTACACAGGCTTTTATTCCAATTATGCTCTGCTTACCTTTTTTGAAGGGGGGGTGTAGATGTAAAGTGGTTACTGTTGGTAAGGAGAGGGAGTTTTGTTATCTAAAGAAAGAGGAAAAAAAGAGGGAGCCGTACACTGCAAACAGGGGAGATTGGAAATGTAAAATCAATGAAGAAAAGGCTCAGACAGGCATTTTCCTTAAAGTCTCTGAAAGATTTTGCTGTGAACAAAGGTACGTATGTCTTTGTGCCTTTTAGTGATTTTTGGATAAGTGTGATTAGAATGTGGCCTCCTTATTTACTCATTTATGGCTCGAATTCTGACAGATGTGGCAACTTGATTTATCTCAATACACCCTTCCTTTCTCAGCCTACTCGCCTCGAGATTGGAGCATCAGTTCAGCAGCCACTTAAGTTATCAAATTCATGCTGTTTTTAATGAGCAGTTAGCAGATCATTAATAAACACAAAACAGCACCGAGAGAAAGGTGTGCATCCGTCAGTCTGACCAGGTTTCAGCTGCTCTAAGCAGTGCTTTGTGTGTCTGCGGGTGTGCATTCATCTTGTAATTGTATTCAAAATAAAAAGCAAAAGACTGCCTCTACCGACGTTCATTGAAACATTGGAGCCTAGCCTCGGTTAATAATTAACAGTGGGCAGCGCTATAAGCCACAAATATTAGAGCTCACATTGATTACAAATATTTGTCAAAATAAATATCAAAAGATACATGTTCTGTTTGTCTACCGTAAGCACAAATATACCAATAACATGAAAATTACAGGCATTATTTTTAAAAAACAACAAAAAAAACAAAACCTTTGAATGACGGAACAGGAGAAAAACGGAGGGAAAACAGAGGAGCAGAAGTTTGGACAAAACAGATCTGGTGAGGAAAAGAAAAAGGTTCAACTCCCGTTGGGCCCAAATCTGAAGGCAGCTCAGTTTCATCTTCCGTTGAAGCAGCTCCACCTTTGTGCCTCCGGCCTGGGGGGGGTGGGGGGGGGGGGCCGCTGGCCTCAGGCCACTGTTCTGACCCGGTCCCCCCTGCAGCACACACACCTGGGGACCCCGAAGCGTCTGCCAGCCTCCTTGGCTCTGATGGGGGGGGGGGCACCCCGGGGGGAGAGTCAGGAACCCGCACTCAGCAGTTGATGGAGGCGCATTCTGCTTTGGCCTTCCCCGCCGAGCTGATGATGCTCATGAGGCAGTGTCCGAACTCCTCCAGGATCATGCGCTCGGCCTCCGCCTGAGGCTGCAGAGTCTGTTCGGCCTTCTTGGCCTGTTCCAGCAAACACTCGCAGGTGGCCTCCAGCACCTCCTTGGTTACAAACGTGTACGGCATCCTGCGAGGGAAGAGAACAACACGTCTGAGACGGCGGGTCCCCCTGAAGCCCCCCCCACTGGAGCTCAGGGAGCCTCTTCCCCTCGCAGGGAAAGGGATAAAACACGCTTCCAGTTAGCATCACAAACTCTAGGAGTCATCGGAAGTGTGAACGGAGCGATTCTAAACAGACAAAATGAGCAGGTAAACTTTAAGAGCCGCCCATAAAAAGGATTTAAAGTGGCTTATAATAATCAGCTGAGGATGGCAGAACCCAACTCTTTAAAAAAAGAAAAGAAAAAAAAAGCCCACAAAGCTGTCACATGACTTGTGTTTTACAGCTGCATAAAGGAGCAGACCGCGGCCATTAAAATCCCTCTGTGTTGCGCATCATTATGCGGAAACTCTCAGGTTGATTTAGCCACTGTGGCTGGAAACTATGATGTTTTAGAAGTTGTGCGTGCCGCCGTGTGTCAGAGGGAGGAAACTCTCCTTTTTCACCAGCTCTGCATCCCAGACATCTCCTCTTAAACTCATCTCGGTTTGTTTTTTTGTTTTTTTTCTGTTTTCACAGATTTGATGTCCAGAAGACGGCGCCACTCTGGGATGTTTAAATCTTTTTTCTGAAGTTAAGCCAGAAATGTGATTCAGATGTGATACACCTGCTATTAAAAAGGGTGAAAGTGTATAGAAAAATCCTGTTAAAATCTATCAATGAAAGAAAACAATTTTTTTAACGGAAACCTTTGAACTTTTGCAGTTTATCTGTTAAACTAAATGAAAATATAAATAAAAGAACAAAGTTAATCCTTTTCTATCTGACATCTTGTTCTGTTATTGGCCTTTTGGTGTATTTGATGGTTATTTGACAGAATTTGCGCATCTCTCACACCAGTAAAGAAAATAAAACTGCTCATTCCGGCTTTGAGGTCTGACCCAGAGACGCCTTTTCCCTGTCGGAGGGTGGGGAAACGTTCGGAATACCTCCCGCTTCCGCTGGTGATGACGGGCGTGGTGCGCATGAGCAGGTCTGAGATCTGCGAGGACAGCTTGGTCTTGGCGGCGGTCTGCTGCTGGACCCGGACCTCGGCCGCGTCGGCCAGGTGCATCAGCGTCTTCCGCTCCGGGCTCTCCTCGAAGTTCTTGCAGCCGATGCACTTGCAGATGGACGAGCACATGATCTTCGCCTTGGAAGGGGAAAGACACAGAGAGAGAGAGAAGCGTGAGACGCTGGGGGGGGCGGGCTGATATGGCAGTGCCAGTGGGGGGCGGGCACCTCGTAGCACTCGCAGTAGTTCTTCAGGCAGCCGGAGCGCTTGCAGTTGCAGCCTTTGCTGTGCCGGCGGTCCGACTCGCCCTCTTTGCCTTTGCCGATTTTAGGCTTGAAGGCCTCCGGGTTTCGGTCCAAACACGTCTGGGAAAACAGAGCGGCGGCGTTAGGTTTAGTAAGGGTTTTCCCCCCGAAAAAGATTTCAGACAAGAAGCCGGAGCGAAAAAGGTCAAAGGTCGAAGCCCACCTTGATGGCTTTCTGGCGCTCGGTCTCGTGCTCCAGGTTGTTGAAGCAGTTGTTGCAGTTGCAGTTGTTGCAGAACTCTCCGTTTGCAAAGCAGTCGCAGTATCTGAGGAGAGAGACAAAAACCGTCTGAGAGGCCGAGCTGCTGCTGCCAGACCACCGGCCAATAACAAAACAGCACAGGAAGTTTGTGGGATTTTTTCATTGCAGTTACTATCTGCAACTGCAGGGGGCGCCAGACACCAAACCATTCTGCTGTTTCACTTTGAACTGCTAAAAAGTTCCTGCAGAGTTCTGCATTATGCAGAAACTCTCAGTTTCTACAGAAATATTCATACCTGGATTCATCATGTTAACCATTATTTTCTTTATTGTGTCGACACTCGTACTTACAGTTTGAGACACTGCGACTTGGTGCAGTTGCAGGGTTTCCTTGGTCTGGAGGTGGTTTCTGCTGTTGAAACACTGAGGAAGTAAACAAATTCATTAAAATTAAATAAAGAACTAAAAAACAGGATTCAGCCAATAAATGAGCTAAATGAAAATAAGCAGTCCCCTGCAAGAATATTCTTAGTGTTCATAGCTTTAATAGGAAGCTGAGAGCAGTTTCAGACTCGTGACCCCTTAACGATGCTCCAGACGAACGTCGGCTCGTTCCAGTTTCAGTTTCGTCCTGAGATGCTAACCCATGGAAAACACTGTAGTGGATAGGATGGGTTTCTGCATGCCATAGTGATGACGTGCACTAATTGGTCATGTGGTGTTGGGGGGGGGTGGCATTTGAAATATCACCTGTTCACTCGCAAGGTGACAGTTTAGTAGCGAGTGGGTGATGGGGGAAGCCTACTTTTTGCTGACCGCTTTACGCTTTATGCTTTATGCTTTACACTTAATGCTTTACGCTTTTACATCTGATCTAATTAAGTTTGCTGTGAACATTCACTCTGGATTACCGCTTGTGGATTATGGATGCCTATGAACTGATTCAGTGACGTGTTTTAATGTTGGATACCTGAGGATTAAATAAAGCGATAACACGAAGCCTTTGGACTGGCATTTTGAACATAGAGCACGTCTGGCACATTAGTTTCCCATAATCAGCTGCTCTGCGACCTAAAAGTTTGTTGAACGGTCGCCAATAAACACTAAAGAGAGAGGTGGGCGCTCTTACCCGTTCAGGGGCAGTTTGGCCTGCGTCTGGATGCCACCGGCGGCGGGGAAACCCGAGCTGCTGGCCAGCGTCACGAACGGCTGCTGCTGGATCTGGGAGGGCAGACGGGGCCGGTGAGGGTCAGGGGGCAGAGAGCCCGGCGGGGGGCAAGGGGCGGAGGGGGGGGGGGGGGGGGCGCTGGGGTGATCGCAGAGGGCAGGGAGTAGGGGGCCGCTGACCTGTGTGACGTACTGCGCGGGGACCACGGCGTAGCCGACGTTGCCGGCGCCGTGGGCCGGCGCCAGGACGGTGCCCGGGGGCAGGTTGGTGAAGTTGGGCTGGATTTGGGGCAGCGGCGTGGCCGGCATGATCAAACGCTGCTGCGTCTGGGTGGTGGTCACCACCTGAGTGGCCGACGTTAAGGGTTTGGGCGCCACCTGAGGGGAGAAACAGACGCTGATTGGTGGGGAGGGGGGCGGGTCCAGGGAGACGTCAAACAGCTCTACTTCTATTCAATTCAATTCAATTCAATTTTATTTATATAGCGCCACATCACAAAAACAGTTGTCTCACAGCGCTTTCCAAACAGAGCAGGTCAGACCTACTCTGAAGATAATTACAGAAACCCAACAATTCCCACCATGAGCAAGCACTAGGCGACACAGGCAAGGAAAAACTGCTTCCTTAGTTTGGAATTCAGAGCGGGAGGGTATCAGGCCCTGTGGGACCAGACCCCCTCCTCTACCTCTAAGACTTGATGAAGCTGGTAGTCAGGGTTGGCTGCCCATAGCTTAGATGTGGACTTTAGAGGTCCTGAACTGGACGGTCACCTGTTTCATGGTCTGCGCCTGCATGACCGGGACCGACATCCTGACCGCGCCCGTGCTGACCACCATGGGTTTACCTGCCACACAGATCAGAATCAGAAATACTTTAATAATCCCAGAGGGAAATTATTTTTGTTACG